CTTCGCCCTCTCCCCACTCCCTTCTTCCCTTTCGTGCTAGGAGAGGTACACTGCCCCTCATGGAAAGCCACTCAGCCCCGAACAAAAGCGAATTCGTTCCATGCTACAGAAATTTTGGATACAATCCCTCATAGAGTGACAACCTAGCTGAACCTGTGTATAACCAGCCCCAGTTCCCTAAAAAAAGAAATTCAGCACAAACAAGAGGACACAAAAATAAGTTAAAAAGTAAGTCATAAATAGAAAAGTAAAATCTGTATAAGTTTCATGAAGCTTTGCTCCTGTTCTTTCTGTGAAAAGAATCCATTCTTTCTTGCTTCTCTCCACGGCACAGGACACAGCTGTATTTGCTTTTCGTCCGGGCGAGTTGTGCATAAGCCTTTTCGTCGATACCATCACAATCTGAAAGGTGAAAAACCATCCTCTTAAAAGTGTAATGTGAACCCTTTACAATCTAACATCAGTATGCATATTCTCCACACTGTTCTTTAGACATTTTCTAAGGTAACGTAAGAGGAACTAAAGTTCAAATAGTTCTTTTCCCACCTGAATTGTCACAAACCTGTATATAAACCTTACATAAAAGTTTTTAAGCTCTGTGTATGATTTAAGTGATTAATAACAATCAGCACACAAGATGCATATTGCATAACCCATCCTAACTGAGATAACCTTGGTTTTCAAAGTATAAAACAACCAGCAATTATGCTCCTTCCACCGTAAGTAACTGCCCAGAGTTTACCGGAACCCAGCTATACTCCTAAGTGGCTTGAAACGAGGAACCACGAGAATAAAGTGTTTTGCTCAAGAATACAACACTGTGACATGGAACCCAAACTTCTGGATTTGGGCTTCGGCGCTGTAATGTCTTCCAAATCGAAATTAAATAAGGGTAAAAAAGCAGTTCAGTCAAACCTGTGTGAATCCAGCGGTCACACATGTCACAACACACCATGGGCAAATCAGACTCGTCATTGCGGTAAACTTTTAAGCAAACCGGGCAGAAGTTTCCTGCGCGGAACAACCTGTGAGAGGAACAATGGAAAAGGTAACATCAACATGTTCGTGAAGTAAACATAGGAGAGAACAATGGACCCCCATCATGTAAGTCATTCATAAAGCATATAAGCAACGTTTCCTTTACAACCTGAAAACAAGGAAAAAAATCGATCGCCCCTAAAAATTTGACCAACGTTTATTCTTACTTTGATAGCGTAGTATCTACAGGAATTGCAGCAAGTCCACACATGTAAAATGCGTGTACTTTTTATGTGCGTGTACAATACGTGGACACTGCACGCAGTGTTCAAGAAATAGCATAATGTAACCGTTTATACCTGGAACAGGCAGAACACAAGGTTTGTAAGAACTGCACTTCTGATCCGTCTCGTGGTTTGGTGTACTGTGGGGTACATACGAAACCAAATTAGCTGATACACGTCAAAGCACTCATTAGCTGGTTGCGGTAAAAGGGAGTAAAACTGTAAGAAGAAGTTATATAAACCTCGTGTTTCCATCTGGAGGTTGGGCCTTCACCTGGGGATCTTCTCAAGCAGGATGCACACATACCACACTTATCACATGTCCACCGACCTGATGAAAGAAACCAACACAGTGGACAATCAACGGTGTAACAGAGAAGTGATTTGCACCCACCGTTGATTTGCAAAATGCGTCTACTTTCGTTCTCTCTATAGGCTTGTTTAGTTTTCCAGTTTAGGACTCATAGTTTTGGTAAAAGGTGCCTCGTCTTCATCGTGCGTGTTTACCCCCTCTCCCCTCCCTTCCTCATTATTTGCCCCTTCCCTCGCCCCATCTCTCCTCCCCTCCCCAGGAAGTCCTTCCCTGCAGGTCTTGTCGAGGTAAAATTTAAGTTTCAACGCGTTTAGTGGGGTTGTAAAACTGTAACATCATTGCTACATTTCAATCAGTGTGTTGATCGCATACAATGGACACCGATTTTCACCAAGATTAACAAGAAACACAACTGGAAACTATTACCCATGATCACACTTACATGTACTTACCTACTGGTATCTGTTTGAGTCCCACACAGAAACTGTGGTATCCACGGTCACATTCGTCACAGAATAACATCTTATCCTGTCAACAAAGACCTTAGAATTAAACTTTACGTCCGAGTTGATAACTCGTGCGGTCAAGCAAGTGAACGTGAGGGCAGAGGGATGTTTCATTTTTCAAAATGAGTTTGTTTCCAGACAAACTTTTAAGGTAATTTAAATTCGGAAGTTTACCACAGGGAGTGGAAGAGGAGCTAGTTGGCGGTATGGCACAATTAACCATTACAGTAGTTTGGATCATACAGATGTACATAGGAGAGGGAATGACTAACGCTAAAACGATAATTTCCTCATTCGTCGCTGGTAAAATGTTTTCGACCTTGTGGTCTGATGGCCCGGATGTTAAAAAGGCATGAAAAGGTCTGTTATCAGTAGAAGTGACTGAAGTTTTGACCACCTGAGTGAAAAACGTCATGAAAGTCACGTGAATCAGACCCCTAGACTCTTAACTCTAAAGATGACATCCGCTTTGGTTGTTGAAACGTCTGTCAATTTTAACGGCGACAGTTCTTCTCAGGACAACTGCCCTCACCCGGACTATCAAACAATTTACTGTGGCAACAAGTAAATAATCCTTAACAATACTCTCTTCTCCATACCTCTGACATGTGATGCACCTTCGTCAGATCTCAAAACATTCTGTATGTGTACAGTAAGTACTGCTTAAACTCGATCATGACATTTTATTTACCTCATCAAACGGGTCGCGGCAGACGATGCAAGTTTTACATTCCATGCATTGCCATGGATATGTCTGGATAACTACAACCAACTGGGTGTTCATGTCCAGACATGTGGGATGTCCTGTGCAAAACACAAAAGTCCTTAGTGTTCCTGTGATAACAAAGTTTTACTGCAGTATGTCTTGCACTTACACAATTCCTTCACAGGGCTATTCTTTAAATACAGACTGATAGATGTTGCAGAAAGGGAGATAACATAGTGAACGTCTACAGCCAAGATAGTTTAAATATCCATTCATAATTAAGAGTACATCATCTCAGCTAAAACACAACCAAGCTAAATTACACTCGTATAATTACCATTAACAAAGAAATAATTCTTATTTTGTTCTTGCAACAAATCTCCTGCAGAGTTAACACTTAGCAATCAAAGGTCACAGTTTTCAATATTTTCAAGAGCAAATTATTCATCATAAAGCTATATTTCTATAGCTATAGCTATAACTTCACAGGAAAAGCTATAGGAAAACTTTTCGTAAAACATCTGCAAACAACTGGCCTATCAACCAAAGCAGTCAGAACACAGTCATGCACAGACATACCACTATTCTCACACTGTGAGCAGTGTATAAGTTCCTCTGGCAGTCCTTTCTTGTTTGAATCTGGGCCTTTCAAGCAAATGCCACACAGTGCATCGGGACGTTTTGGGGGCTGTGAACAAGATGTCAAGGTGACAGTAGAGTTTTATACATGCGCCTCATTGTAACATTCATATTGAAAAAATAATTAATAGGAAGTACTCGTTAGATTTTCCCAAGTTTTTGACTGTCTCTAAGACTCCCAATCCAAAATCAAGGGATGACATTAAATAATTACTGGATGAAGTTTTTGTGATATCCAGAATAATCATCTGAAGGCTGATAACCCTTACCAAGACCTTGATTATTCTGGATATTACAAAAACTGAATCTAATAATTGTTTTATTATACAAAAAATGAAAAAAGAAATGGTCCCAACAATAGGTGGAATTGATCATTTATTTCTAAACTCGTTAAAAAATATACAAATCAGCAAGCAACACGAGGCGCGCAAACTTGAAAAGATTACCCTTGGAAATCATGCACCATGGTCATTCATGACCTAACTACCTGCGACCTTTAGTGTCCTCGACATGACTATTGTATAATCTGCAGCTAGATGACATCCTAGATGCTGATTTCGGAAATTCAATGTACACTTTCAGCCAATCAGAAACCAGAGTGTGAGTTGAATGTACAACAATCTATATTATTTCACCTGTAAATTTCTATTCATACATTATCAAAAGTTGTTTATAAATTGTACTAACTTTGTATTTTCCTGGTATTTTCTTTGCCGGTGGTTCTTCTATTTCCTCTTCAGAACTGCTATCACTACCTTCTTCAGCTGTTGAATCCTGTGTGACAGCAAACATTTTTCAAAGTTCAATTTTGTGTGAAAACCATGAGCACCAGAAATATTCATGGGATACTTATGTAATTCATGGGCCTGAAATAAAGTACTGTTAACCTTATCCTTCCAAGATTCTCATTGGCAGTTCTCCTTACTGACGGCCATGCAATTCTTCTAAGGTTGGTTTGGAGAATACAATATTGGATCAACTAATAATTTCCTAATTGGTATTTTTTTCTCACCTATTGTCTGCTTGATAGATCAGTGGTTGTAAGGAGAAATTCTATCTTGGGAGTTGAAGGTTTAACCCCTTAACTCCCACAGGTGATTAACATGAAACTTCTCCCTATAATATTCATGTATTATTCAGGTGACAGGTAATGAGAATATTCAAACTTATCAGGCAGAAGCTGCTATCTTGATCTAGCACCAAATTCTTATAACTAATTACAAGGAAATGTATAGCTGCTAGAGGGGAGAATTAACAAGAAGATCTGGGGAGTTGAAGGGTTAACAAACTATTGAACAGTGAATGCCTAGAGAAAAAAAATGCTAATTCAACCTACTGGCAAGGATATATCATCTGATTCTTCAGAGTCTGCTTGCTGCGGAGGTACATATGGTTCTGGAGGCAGTGGGGGCTTTGGCATTTCCATAACAGTACCAAGTGGAAAGTTGTTTAGCTCTTCTGAAGTGTACCTTGAAACAAACAATGAAAAGCACAAAAACATATGTCAACTTAATAATGATTGCAATAGTTCCTTGCCTTTAAAAAAAAAGAGCAAAGACAACATCTGGTATGTGCACAACAAACATTTGTTACAAGCTCATGTACATGTATATACAGTGTACAATATTATTTCAAGTCTTGAACTTTCTAAGAAACATAGGAAAAAAAAATGTTGGCTATACAGAAACATGATCTTCATTTTATTGAGATTACTTATCAGAGTTTTTAGTCTTTCACAATTTAACCACTTCAGACAGAAATATTTTTTTAAACAAAAGGGGTTTTTTACCACTGTATTTGTCATTTTAGGGTTTAAAGAGAAGGATTAATAGCATTTTTATTCAATATTGTTAAAGGTCTCTTACTGCCTAGACCAAAATGCAGCAAAAGCTGAATTCATTTAATACCTTTTATAGTATTCCTGGAATTGTCCTGGAAGAAGAGCAACTGGGTATAAACTTGGTTTGGTGCAAGGCTTTGTTAATCGTGTTGTCTTGTTGGCTGGAACATGGATTATCTAAAGTATGATATGAAACATTTTGTACAGTAAATGTAGATCAGAAAGAAATCTATACCCTCTACTAACTGAGTTCAAGGTCCATACTGTAAGTTATAGACCAAGATTGTCTACTTGGGTTTATGGCCCTCGAGCGAAGCGAGTATTAATGGGTTCTGACCAATTGTCAAGGAAGCCTGGGAAAATGCTGGGGGTGGCCTTGTGATGAACTAGCCTCCCATGCAGGGAAACCAGAAAAAACATCTGCTGAGTGGTCAACCTGGTTTGAATACAGACCTAAGAACATTTGATCTTACTTGAGTCTGCATGTCAAAGTATGAACATCTCTCTTCTCTCCTCTGCTGAGCCAACTGAGCATTGAACTCTGCCACATCTTTGATGGCCCGTTTGATGTAGTTTGCTACTTTTCTAGTTTCCAAAGATCTCTGTAATGGAATGTGCAACAAATATAAGTCTTTTTTCCACTATTTTTAATTCAGTTTTCAAATTAGCAATATTGTATTAGCTGGCCCCCAATAGTAACCATAGCTAGTTTTTTGCAGTCAGTAATTAACCCTTTAATTCCCATGAGTGACCAAGACAGAATTTCTCCTTACAGTATCAATGCAATATCAACCAGATAAGTGGTGAGAATAAAGAAAAATATCAATTTGGAGATAACTAGTTGATCCAATACTAAATTCTCTGAACTAACATTGTAAGAATTGTATGATTGACAGTGAGGAGAGTTACAAATTTGATCTAGGAGTTAAAGGGTTAAGAATGATATAACTGAATAAACTATTTATGTTAAACTTAACTGTATTCAGTGTAGAGAAATTTTTGCAATTGAACACTGAAACTTCAATATCAAGAAATATGTTGAAGAGGAAATTATTGCATGGTAGCTTGCATATTAGCTAATTGTTTACAACAATTTACTTTTGTTATAATTGTTATGGTAGTTAAGTATTATTATCTTTGTTTGCCTGGATGCCACACAAAATATGATAGAGTTCAATCTAAAAAGATTTTCTTGCTCTAAAATTAGAGTCTGTTGGATCATCAATCAGTGAACCAATGTACATGTATTTACTTTCCTTTAAAACCATTTACCTTTTCTTCTTCTGCTTTTCGAATTATCCTTTGACGTTCCTTAACATGAGCCACCCTGATATATTCCTGTAAAAATTTTTGTTAATAAGAAATTTGGTCACAAAATTTTTTGAAAATGTGTTCATACAAACCCATTCATATCATTATCAGTTTTTTGTTGACACTGTTAACTCTTTGAACCCAAAAAGTGACTAGCATCTAATTTCTTCTTTCAATATCACCCCTGAATCCCATATTTAGGTCACGAGAATGAAGGAAATAATCACAAAATAAAGAAGCTCATAATTGTCAGAAAAATTCTCTTTATCAACACCATATCAAATGTACAGAGAGCAGTAAGGAGAAAACATATACTAATATCAGGGTATAAAAGGTTAAAGTCATTTACCTTATATTTTTTGGGAAAACTATCTATCATTATTTGACAAACATCCTCAGTCTTATAAGCTGTTAATTCTGAAATATAGAAGCAGATGAGGACAAGGGTGTTAGTGGTATAAGGTAGTGTAGAAAAATTAATGCAATTTCTTGGATCATTGACAGGT